GGTCTCCCGGGAAATTTGTAACAAAAGAACTCAGAGCGGTCGCCAGGTACTGTTTAAAACTAAAAACGTAGCTATTTATACGTATGTACTTATACTTACTGGCTTTACAAGGCTTTAAATAGAACCAACAAACATTTTAGTACAGATTTTTCAATAGTCAGATAAGTAAATGTTATCTGAGTAATAAAATTGTTGCTGCCTCTGTCTTTTATAAACATTCTGACGCGACAGCATCATAATCATTCCCTGAGTAACTTTCATCTAACCATTGAAAAATCAGCCCTTACTCATGTTGGTTTTAAATTTAGAATTTCGTTGTTCTAACTACTAATGCAATAATGCAATTTTATCAGAATTATTTTGTTTTGGACAAAAGATATTAGACATTCAACAACGGATTCTCTGATGTTAGTCGCCTATTCAGTGTTTACAATATTGACACAATATAAATAAATTTTACAACTAAAAACCTTACTTAAATTCATACGCATAAAACATGTTTTTAATCTTATCTGTCAGTTGATCCTATCAAGGGTCGTAATGGCGTATACATTTAAGTTTGTTATGTAAGTGTGTAACACAATGCCGTCTAGCCGAGTCAACCTTCACCAGAAAGTTCATTAGACAGAGCTTTGTAGTTTAGTAACTGCAAACTATTTTACTAAGAATGTCATATGGCACAGACTTTGGCTTACAAAGAACAGGTGGCGCTCTTAAAGAAGTAGAGACTCGACTCGACTAATTATGATTGCTTTAGAACAAACTTAACTTTAGTAAAAATAAAAATAGTTAAAAATACTATGCTTCTTTGCTCTTGCAATAGTAATAATTATTGTATTTGATAAATACTCTGACAAAATGAACTGAGTAGGCCAATAGCGCTGAACGTCACAAACTTGTCGATCGCCTTAAAATAAAACAAACTCGAGCAAGCCCTCGGTACAGTGTGCTTTGTACAAGTTATACATAAGTGTGTATTTCTAATTTGTTTAATTAATATTAGCGAAACTACTGAGATTGATTTTTCAATTACAACTAATTAGAGTGAAATATGATGACCAACAAAAAATGGTTTAATACCCTAATTACCAGAAAAAATAAATCTAAATTTAAAAATAATACTGTCACGTATAAAATTAGTCACGACTTTAATTTAAGTTGTAGTTAACACCATACCGTATTAAATGGTCATCAAAGTAATTAAATAATGCATTATTACTGACGGAATAAACCACTAATATTGGCATATATAGGCATATATATAAGCCTACGCTTATTAACTGTAGGCAGTCATTAAGCGTAGGAACAATGAAAGCTTATTAGTAAAATCGTAAGAATATAATTTTATCATACATTTTTTTAAAGAACATCTTGTTCAAGAGCTATTTGTGGCCGAAACATTTTTTTAGGCAATTTGCTTAAATATTCTGGCAAGGTTATGCATCCATCTTAAAATTCCCTATGGTCACCGCCATCTTAATTAAAAAAATACTAAATGACTTGAAAATAGGTAGATTAGTACTTGTTAAGTTTCAAACCTGCACCTTACCATACTTAAGAGGCAAGGCCTTAGCCTAAATTTAATGCAAATAACGACTTACTCACGTGAATTAATCGAGAAAAGCTCTACTAGTTTCAAATCACAACGGGACTCTTATTCATTAACAGCGTGCGCGTTTCTATGACGTCGAGCTTTTCTTAGTTAATTAACGTGAGTCGTTATCTTTCTTATATATAAAAATGGTCCGCAAAATGTTTTGGTAAGCGCATAACTCAAAAACGCCTAGACCAATGTTGCTAATTCTTTTTTTGTTATGTTTGTTATTGTCAGGAGAAGGTTCTTATCCAAGAAAATATTAGAAAAGAATAGGGGAAATTTAGGAAAAAGTGACCCGTGAAAGTGAAAAGCGAGATAGTTGGACCCGTGCGAAGCGGGAGCGGGCCGCTAGTTGTCAATAAACTCACTATATCTGACGATAGTAACTGTTCAAAAAGGCTTTAACCTAATACAAAAAGAGACGGATCTCTGAGTTCTTCTCAGAGTAGTCAGATAGGAAATGCGGCTTCATCTACACGTTTTTTACATATAATTTAACGTGTAAAAGTGCCGTTATATGGCCTATCCAAACTTAATACTATAAATGCGAAAGTAACTGTCTGTCTGTCTGTCTTTTTTACACGCCTAAACTACTGAACCTATTTGTGTGTTTGATACAGACATAGTTTGGAACTCGAGAAAGGACGTAGTTAGAAAGGACACAGTTTTTAAAACAAAAAAACTCCAGGAAGTCACTATTCCACGCGAACAAAGTCACGGGCAAAAGCTAGTTTAAAAATAATTTCATTTATTCTTTGTTTGACACCAACGGCCATCTTCGAAATATTAGTGTAACTAAAATGAAATAGGTACGTACCGAACTATAGTAAAGATGTTCCTCGCAACCTTTTGTATGATTATGACTTTGATAAAGGTTTGGCCGTTGACTTCTCAACTATTGTTGAAATATATAAATGAACAGACTCCTATATAATCTGTGCAGTTTTTGACATGACGTTATCTCTAAGCTCATACTGCCAGACCGACGTTCCAAGTATTCCCTAGACCTTTACCATTTTCTATTTCGCTTTGTTTCTGTTTTTGATTTTCAAGCTCAGTGCTTTTAAATTTTGAAATATTGTAATCAACTACTATTTGTTTATCATAGACTAGCTACTCCCACGCGGTTTCACCGCCTTTATTGCTCTAGCCTGTTATTTTTAGCTTATAGTCATCCTTGATAAATGGCCTATCTAACAAAAAAATTTGTTCAATTTGAATCAGCAGTTTCAGAGGTTTGCATGTTCAAGCAAATTAACATACAAACTCTTTAGCTTTATAACATAAGTATAGAGTTTTAAATAACTGTTCATAACTACTACAAATATGAGTCAAAATTCGAAAATCTACAATGATATTGGTTAGCAGTAGGAATAAAATTTGTATATTTCCTCCCCTTTATGAACCAACAGAAGGGTATGATGTTATTTTATTGATTCATTCGGAACACCTTTTTTCTTGCCGCTTTTATTTCTGTCAGCTACATTCACCACGCACAAGTGAAGTGTAAACCATCCGCGGAATTTTCCTTCATTCTCATTTATATCAAGAAAAAAGGTATTTGTTGATATTGGCATCTTTTACGGCACTCTCTAAAAGGTTATGTCTATCCTGGAACTCTTTTGGTGTATTAAAAATAAATCAACTGAATATTCATGCAACGTTGTTATGTTTAAGGAAACAATTAAACTGTATTTGATTGAAAGTAATAATATTCCGTGAAAATCGTTTTTTCTTGTCTCGTATTACGGTAAAAAATTGTGGTGTATTATTTTAATGTTTTTAAAGGAATGCCAAAAAATCAAAACGAACACTTTCTACTTTCAAAAAGTCAAGCGATATACAAAAGCTACAGAAAATCAGTATCGATGTGTGATATGTTGATATGTCGTTGGAAATCAATAAACATATCCACTGATTAATAATATTATTGTAAGTAGGTCAGCTGGCGACCTGTTGCACGTCCTTGCACGTGTCCCCGCGGCGGGCGCGCACCCACACACCCCCTGAAGCCCACACGAGTACGCACTACCCCTCATCCCGCGGTTTTTACTTCGCAATCATCGCGCCACTGTTGCCAGCTTTTATCTAATTGAAAACCTCTCGTGTCAACTTATGTCGTGACTCTGAGCGCTAATAGGAGTGAACAAACACTCCTCCTGAAAAAGTTTCTACCAGAAACTAAGGCTGAATTTGTTAGCTATCACACTAAAGCGGGTCTACAAAGCTTTGAACTTGCCGCTCTACGCTGATAAAACTTATCAAGGGATACCGTAAAATTAAATTTCCGGCGCAGCATATGAACTCGCCGATGTGCCTTATGGATTTCATTAGGGAATCACGATAAATGTTAAAGCTGTCGATAAAGTAGAAGCCTCGGTTACGGGTTTTCAATTTATTTTATAAATACATTTATTTAGATGATGCACAAACTCTAAACGAATGAACTCTTTCCGAGAAGATGAAAAATACATTTAACTTCACCCGCTGGTTTAATCAAGTTTCCTATTCTACCAAATGGAGCTCCCGCTGACAAATCGATTCACCTAACGACATTACATCTCACATCTTATTTAACACAATGAATTTCTTATGACTAATGCCGGTGTCATACCCTCGAAGATGCTGTGAACCATTGAATTACGTACAAAAGAAAATTGTATCAGAGAATCGCTCCAAATAATTTGAATTTATTGTGCAGAAAATAAGTAATATAATAAAAAGCTCAGCTTGGCATTGTGATGTTTAGTTGCGTCGGACGTCAGAAAAATTAGAATACTTCTTTCAAGTATTTGATTTAGGAGACAAGTCATTTCTATGCTTGGCATGTTTCGCCTCAGCGTTCGTGTCGGGGCCGTAAGGAGTTGCCGCTAATTTGCAATTCCCCTTCCTGTAGAAACACGTTAATATCCTTCGAGAGTCTGTGATTTCCCAATATCATTATTTGTCTCGGTAGTCTTTGTACACTTTGTGACTGCTTGGTGATTCGTAGAAATAGTTATATATATATATATACTACTATATATATCATCCATATACACTAGTATATGGATGTATACAGGTTTCAAATAACAATTTAAATCTATAACGTGAGTATTAACGCGAAAAATAATTATTTTAATACCTTGCCAGGTAAAATAAATATTTAAATACCTTATATCTAACACGATTGTGCCTTAAGTAAATTTACTAGATTTTATCTTTTGTATAGGCACTCAATTTATTGAAAGAAGTATCCTAGCTAGCTACCCATCATAGAACACTGACTTAACGCTAAAACTTGGTTGAAATTATTAATTGAGTGCAAAAGAGTTCAGTACTTGCAACACAAGTTTAGAAATTCATATACGTAGTACGTACGATAGACAAATCCATGTATTACAATGCTTTTTGGATTACTCACCCGGAATTGACGTTGTTATCCACCTCTGGCCATGAGAGGCGCCGTTTGCAGAAGGCCATGGTTGGTCTCTCCGGGGGCGGCTGGTTGCGAGGGACTCGCAGCGAGCCCCCGCGCCGCGGCGGAGGAGCTGGAGCCAGGCAGTCCAGAGTACGACGACGAGCATTCAACGCTGATGCTCCTTCCGTTGGCACTACTCTTGGAAATCCTACGAAAAGAACAAATCAAACCACTTCTTAAGAACAAATGCCAACTACTGACAACCTAGTCACGAGCCACGGCTGAAAAATAATATCAAGTACCTAATTCATACGAAAACCCAAGCCTAACTACCCATAAAAGCTCTTATAAACTCTAAAAGATTGTTAAAAGAAAATTTTATAACGACTTACTTTAAAATCTGACACATAGTACTAAGGTAACTTTAACAAAACAGCGCTTTTAAAACTTCTAAAAGTTTGAATAAGGTATTGTGTACATTATATACGACATTACACCAGTAGGTACAATGAACACCATAATTAATATACAGCGGAGAGTTTATTACGAAGAAGCACCCAGCCGATCAATGAACAATGCAAAGAATGTTCTATATGAAAATGTTTCCGATTATATTATATTTAATAAAAAAGGTTCTCATTTTCATTAAAATTCGTTATCATTACCGCAACACATTGCATGTTTGTTTTCAATTGAGGGATTTTTGTATCGCCTGTTTACAATGCGGTATCTCTTTTGTAGTGATTCGTTTTAAAACAATGGATTTTCGCCATAGCCCAGTGACTTTGGTATGCATACTCGTACATGGCTCTAACATCGTAGACCCGCTACGATGACGATGTGAGTACTTAACCAAGCAGAAACAACATGAATGCCTGTCTGAGCATTTACCATAACAACCCTCGCCCAAGTAAAAAGGGTTTAGGCGTAAACTTCTTTGTTTTACTGATAAACATAAACATGACCGTTTATGATAGATTTTTATAAACATTTTGGATATAATTTAACTTTAGAACTAAAGGAGGTTAAGGCCTGGATTATAAAAAAAGGTTTATAGTAATCTCCTTTTCAAACTTTTTGCATTTTAAAAATATAAAACGTGTTTTAGATGTTATCAGCATTCTTTTTGGAGATATGAAATTCACTAACGTACATCCGCTCCAAAGGAACTTATATAAGCTCGTCTTGTTTTCTGCTTAAAACCGGATTGTAAATAGATATTTTTACGTGAATTACATCATATTTAAGTAACGCAGTATCTACTACTTGGGTACAAAGATTGCAGCGTTAAATCAATCATATGATTCTGGTTGACATGAACTTGTATGAAAGTAAAAGTAAAGCTATTTAATTATAAGGAATAATGTAGGTCCTACCTCTCATAGTCGCGGTTGATGGTTGTGGCGGGTGAGCCTGCGACTCCTCAGCAGAGCGGTGGCGGGAGGGCGGCGCGCGGCGCGGCGACAACGCCAGCCCGGCCACGCTGTCCGCCACCCCAGCCACATACTGACCCAATGATGTCAGAAAACTCATGGCTGTACTAAACCACACAGATTTACCAAACACTCATTTGAATATTTGCACTACTCAGTCAATGGATCGTTACACTCATTTCCTTTAAGTCACTTTAAAACGCGCACATTCACTGTCCCTTTCTAAAATTTCACAGAGTCACACATCGTGAAGGTGTTAGCACGAGCTCAGGTGAGTACACTCCACCTGGAACAAGCAAACAAATAAATCGTAAAATACAAATAAAATGAACGTACACGTACGTTATACAAAGCAGGAGAGAGTAATTTGTTTTATCTCGTCAGCACAGTACACATAAATACAAGCTTATTATCCTCGCCGGCTTAAACTGAGTTTCAATTAAGGAGAAACACTTCTTGAATCCAAGTTTAACACGAATGTGGTGTTGTGTTATGTAGGGAATGGAATCATAGCACCTAGTTAGTAGGCAATGGGGGTAACTGTGCAACCCTTCCAACTAAACTATGTTATACACCACAGGCATGGAGCGATATTTATTACTGTTCAGTGTTACACGTTTGCCTTTATTACTACATCTTTATATATAAAAATTTCGTGTCACGTGTTTATCCGCGATGGACTCCTAAACTAATAAACCGATTTAAAAATTTATTTGCATTCCGTGTGCGTTGTGATCCACCTTGAAAGATAGGGTAGCTTACATCTCAATTTATAGTCACAGTATTATTTACCATAGCAACAGCAACGCGTGGCTGGGTCTGCTAGTGTTTTATATAATATAAAGTCGAATCGCTATTAAAAACATACAAAACTGTGGTAGAATCGAGCTTCGGTCCGAATGGTCGGCTCGACCGGAGTGATACCGCAGAAAACCGGTGTGAAAAACGATAGCGTTGTGTGTCGCCGTGTGAATAAATCCCCGAAACCCTAATCCCCACACCGGCGATGAACTCGTAACTGATTCGGTGTTTCAGGTGTCCATGGGCGAATGAAAGGCTGCTAGTATGTGTATCACATAAAAAGTAGCCCATATTGGTTACTTGAAATATATCTACGCAACAAACACACTCTAGAGTACTACTTGGAGCTTCAAATCAAAGTGAAACCATTGCTCAATGGTCGAGAAAGACAGGGCGGAGAGAGACAGGCGCTGTTTATCTAACACTCACACTATATCCTTCACACTGTTACGCAATTGTTTTCAGAGCAAAGTGCTTCAGTAACTTGTCGATCGACACTGGAACAAATGAAATGAGTATCTTTTTTTATTGCAAATAAGACTTACTCATGTGAATTGACTGGTCAACTAGTTTCAACTCAGTCTGACAACGGTGACGTCGCCGCCGTCTCTTGTATACGAGATACGAGGACTTGAAATAAACAGAGTTTTTTTAAATTAATTCACACTGACAAGTCGTTGTTCTTTTTTCAATATTTTTTTTATCTCACAATACATAGTTACTATTCGAAAACAACAAACATACGAGTAATTCACAGCCAATTGAAGCTACTTACAAGTGAAAACAAAAAAGTTTATATAACAAGAAAGCGTTCAATGTAAACCATAATACTCTCGTCTAACATAATTAGAAAGGAACAAGATAGACGAAAGAAAGAAATTGTTTAGAACTGAGGTTTAAAACCTGAAGTGATAAACTTTTAAAACTAGTAACTAACTAAATGAACTGCATTGCTTTTAAATTACAAAGTAAAATAAAAGTAGACAGATGTCGAAGTACAGTAGATAAAGATAAAGGCATTATTGATTGAATTGGAAAGCATAGCGCACTCGGAAAACAAGCGCGTATCCCCAACTTCACATAACAATATGGCCATTGATTGTTAAAACAATTGTTTTGCCAGCTTTTTATTTGTTCCTCTTTTTACTGTATTTGCTTCCATCGCGTGCCTGTATGAATGCACAAATAATTCAGCAATAATTCTATATAATAATGCTATATGCTTTTGTAGAAAGTTTCACAAAGATCCCGCTTCACATCATATCATCAGCCCATAAGTGCCCACTGCTGAGCAAAGGTCTCTTCTCACACGGAGAAGGTTTGAGCATTAATCACCACGCTTGCTCAATGCGGGTTGGCGATTTCAAACTTATAATTAGAAATTATAAGTCCAGGTTTCTTCACGATGTTTACCATCACCGTATGTCAATGGTGTCTAAATAATCATAAAAAGTACATATAACTCGGAAAAAGTCACATTGGTACTTGCCAGGTTTCGAACCCACACCCTCATGCACGAGAAGCGGGCCCTTTTTTTATGTAATAGGTCGGCAAAACGAGCAGACGGATTACCTGATGGCAAGCAATCAGCTCCGCCCATGGACACCCGCAACGGAGGAGTTACGAGTGAGTTGCCGACCTTTTAGGGATTAGGGATTTGGAGATTTGGGGATTGAGGAAGGATTGGGGAAGGATCCTTAACCTCCGGGCTACCACGACAAGATCCCACTTGTTAATTACAAATTAGGTAATCAGCTGGGGTTGTGGGTCAAAAATGTCGTGGTGGCCCGGAGGTTAAGTTCTCATGTATGAGGGTGTGGGTTCGAAACCTGGCAAGTACCAATGTGACTTTTTTCGAGTTATATGTACTTTCTATGATTATTTAGACACCATTGACATACGGTGAAGGTAAACATCGTGAGGAAACCTGGACTTATAATTTCTAATTATAAGGTTGAAATCGCCAACCCGCATTGAGCAAGCGTGGTGATCAATGCTCTAACCTTCTCCGTATGAGAAGAGGCCTTTGCTCAGTAGTGGGCACTTATAGGCTGATAATGAGGATGATGATGTGGGTCAAGCGCAATAACGCACTGTGGCCACGGCCTAGAGTAAGAGAAAGACCATAGGTGGTTCTTAATCAGTAAGAGACGATCCATCTTTGTGTGATCCACTAATTGTAATTTCAGGTGTGCAACCCATATAATTTTCTGAAAAAAAGTCTCAAAAGAGTCAATGTCCAAATCCATTCATTTATTTTAACTGACCATTACAGGTACTTTTGAACGTCAAACAAAGATTAAAGATAAACTATGACAGTCTTCCGATCAGTCCTCTATGATTAAAAAAACAATTGATCGAGAAAGCATAGATTCCGATGGAGAACAACGAGCAAGAATCACCAAGGATACTGTTTTTTCAATCAGTTTTTTGTTACTACCTTCTAATTTTAACCATGGATGCGTATACAACATTGTAACAGGTATATGAATAAGTATATGTTGAAACACCAGGCACTATTTAAGATATATTGCTATTACCGAGACACAGAAAGCTTATGAGATCGAAAATCAGTGAAACAGATGTCGAAACCGTTCGAACTACGAGGCAGTCAATCGTTAACTTCACTAGAAAACATAATAAAGGAAAGCTATAAAACTAGACGTTCACGAACTATTATTTAAGCTTACAATAAGAGTATGACAAAATCTCAAGAATCTGATAGCTATTAAAAATTAAAGACTGGGTTTATAAAAGCAGCAATATTTTCATGTAATAAATTCATGCTATAAACATTTTATGCTCACAGGGATATTTCTAAAAAGAATGCCCTTTGTTGCTTTTATAGACACCATAAGGTTTTTATTGAGAAAATTCATTATTCTTGTCCACAGTGCGCTCTCAAGTAATTATTACCTGTTTTCTAGAACTAATTAGTATAAAACACTTGAATAGCTCCCGGTTCGCAGTACCTACCTGACTGTTGAGTTCTTTCGAGAATGCAATTCACGATAACAATAAAGAATAAAAAATGCGTGGTTGAAATGGAAAAGAACAGCAGCATAAAACCTTGTTAACTTAAGAAAATAATATTTATACAGTTTCCAGTTAGAAACATATTGAAAATAATCTCACTACATTTATACAAGCTCAGGTATTTTGTACTTCATGCTAGATGTTACACCCACTCTCGTTTATTTTCAATCTTGACTAGAAACTCTGCTTTTAATTTTTTTAATACCTTTTATCCCTCCTCCACACAGGCACAAACTCTTTTAGCGAGTAAGATTTTACAAAAAATTTGGTTACGGAAAATGGAGTGGCAACCTTAAGTAAGTACGTGGAGTTTGAACAATGCAAAAACAAAAAAATACATTTCTTATCTGGAATTGCTAAAGCCCATTGCTGAACAGCAGCTCTTTAAAACCACCCATTCAACCAACGAAGCAGTCCGACCATTGCCTGCATGTATTCGAGATCATATAATAGCAACTAAAAGCACTAATTCTATTAAGCTTGAATCCTGCTGGTCAGCCATAATCTAATATCATAAAATAATCCACTGTCAGTAGGTCCGATATTGGGAATTGACCCACGGCCACCGCTCTACATTGTAGCCTACTGGGGTTTGATTACGCAAGGCTTTGTTTAAACGTAGCACCCTATTACAAGCGACGAACGGCGAGCCTTCCTTCCTACGCTGAATGGAATAGCAAGTCTATTATTTCCCAATTTATCCATTAATCTATTCATTAACATGGTCGCTATTAAACCAGTACACAAACTATGTACACTCTATAGGCCTTTATTAATGTGTAAAGCTTACCAGGTGAATGCATTTTGGGTAAAGAGTTAAATTTATTAAATAATAGCTTCTCCCGCGCGGTTTCACTCGCTGCTTGGCTCCATTTGATTGCAGCGTGATGTTTTATAACCGCACTATACCGCCGTATAGCACTCGGGAACATTGTAGCTATCTATCAGTGAAAGAATTTTGGGAATCCGACCAGTGGTTCCAAAGATTACCCCCTACATACAAACTTACAAATTTTACCTCTTTATAATATAGAAGATGATTTTTAAATAGTGTGACCTTATCATCGTTAGCTCATAAGAATTATAATATGCTTTCATTAAAAAGTCGGTCTCAAGTATTTGAATTATAAATGAATCAACTTAAGTAAAAATTTATAGCGTCTTTAACAGCAAATCCATTACTGCTCGAGATAGATAAGTTTCAAAGGAATCCTCAAGTATTTTTGGTAAAAACTTGAAGGGTTTCATTCTACAGTAAATCGT